TATCCACTTTACTATCCTAGTTATCCACTTTATTATCCTGGTTATCCACTTTATTATCCTGGTTATCTACTTTATTTTCCCGGTTATCCACTTTATTATCCCGGTTATCCACTTTATTTTCCCGATTGTCCACTTTATTATCCTGGTTATCCACTTTATTATTCTGGTTATCCTGCAGTTATCCACTTTATAAATCAATATATCAATTTATCAATATTAAAAAAATTTTAAAAAATTAAACCGCTTTAGAAAAATAGAAATTTAGCTTAAATCATAAACAATTCTTGCTAAACCATAGAAAAATAGTTACATACATGCATAAGAGAAGCATGAGGCCAAATTTAAAGAATTTGAGTTGCAGCTTAAATTTAAGCCGCAGCTCAATATGGTTAATTCCACTTAAAATTGTCTTAAATTTTTTAAGATTTAAGCCGGCGCTCAATTGAAACCGGGTTTTGGTAGATTTAAGGCGCGGCTCAAATTGAGAGAAGTATGGTTTCTTATAAAAAAGTAAGTGTGCTTAAAACGTTACTCTTCTTAAAATCCGAAAAACACTATTTTCTTTTTTCATATCTTTTCTAATACAGGATATTTTTACATGCACTTTTTGGTAAGTTTTTATATATTTTGCAAATATTTTTCATGTTTGAAATGGCAAGTACTCTATCAGAGATACAATTGCACGAATAAAAACTCTCTTTAAAGGGACTGTATGCGTAATTTAAAGTGAACCTCCATGTTTAGAGATAAATGTAGACTAATTCACAATCGTACCCTCTTTAACTTTATCTGATCAAGAATCTTAACCTTATTTATATAAAGTCATTTCTTTTTATTTCACATTATACGCTAGCGTACACTCTAGTTTTTCGGAAATTTAAACAACATTTTAGAAATAAACAAACTGAGTCCTCTGGCCTCGTTAATCAGTCAAAATTAATAATATCTTAATAATAAATTATAATCAATAATCAATAAATATTTCTTGTAAAATCTCCTATGCCATATTTATTATAATTTAAAAATGTGTATTGCAACACCTTTATGAGTATATCTATATAATAAAGCTCTTCGCTCATGTATATATTTTTGTGTATATATACAGGGTGAGTAAAAAGTAAAAAAAAAATCGTGATTATCATCGATGTTTTGATGATTTTTTTTTGAAATTTTGGAAAACAATAGAATACAAACTTTCCAAACAATTTTTCAGAAAATTTTGGTTTTGCGGATTTTTTGTTAGATCTTCAAAAACCATTTTTGAATTTGTTTTATCACATTTTATTTTCCTGAAATTTTCCTAAAATCCGAAAAATAACAAAAATTTCGAAAATTTTGTCCAAAACATTGATAATCCCGTTTTTTATATATATATAAATATATGACATACAGGGTGAAGAATATCTGACATATATATATATATATATATATATATGTCAAATATAGCTGGCCAAACGCCTGGACCGAATTGAGGAAATCCTTCAGTACCCTAGTGGTAACATAGGCTAAAAAAAATTCAACAATTTTTTTTCAAAAATCGAATTTTTTTATTTCGGGTTTTTTCAAGTGTTTCTAAAATTTCACGGGCAACGCCAGGCACTTCATATTATATGATCTCTTTACAATCACTAAATCTCTAAAAAAACAAGAAGAATTCCTTTACTAAAAATGATCTCTCCTGGTTAGTCTCTGAGACTGATATGCCTGGTATGGAATGCTAATATCTAGGTGTTCTCCAAGATACTATACTTGCTCCTCTTCTATTGACAGTATTGATGGGATGTACCCGCCCCTCTATCTGCCCCAGGCAGAAATAGAGGAATTAAAATTAGTCTGCAGGAGGGTGTGAACATTCTTTAGTTTAAGCCATTCTCATTTATTGAGTGGCATGTCCGATTCACACCGGTATCCTTAAAAGCTTTGTCATGGTCAAGAATGAATGATATATCCGTGTTTTCCCTTTTGCAAATTGAATACTTTCAGTTGTGGGTTCTCAATAAAAGTGTATTTGCTGAATTAAGCAATAGAAAAAAATGGAGGAACTTGTCAAAATAACACACTTTCAAAGTTAAAAATATGACAATATATCCATATTAATTAGATAAAGAGTAGCGCTGTGAAATGCAGGCATTCAATCTAGTCTTCAACAAAGAGAAAGTAATTTGAAATTCACTCTACACTCTACACTTTACACTCTACACTCTACACTCTACACTCTACACTCTACACTCTACACTTTACACTCTTCACTCTACACTCTACACTCTACACTCTACACTCTACACTCTACACTCTACACTCTACACTCTAAACTCTACACTCTACGCTCTACGCTCTACGCTATAGACTCTACGCTCTAGACTCTACGCTCTAGACTCTACAATCTAGACCCTACACTCTTCACTTTACACTCTACACTATATACTATACACTCTACACTCCACACTCTACACTCTACACTCTACACTCTACACTCTACACTCTACACTCTACACTCTACACTCTACGCTCTAGACTCTACGCTCTAGACTCTACGCTCTAGACTCTACAATCACTCTACACTCTACACTCTACACTCTACACTCTACACTCTACACTCTACACTTTGCACTCTACACTTTACACTCTTACACTCCACACTCTACACTCCACACTCTACACTCTACACTCTACACTCTACACTCTACACTCTACACTCTACGCTCTAGACTCTACGCTCTAGACTCTACGCTCTAGACTCTACAATCTAGACCCTACACTCTACACTTTACACTCTACACTATATACTATACACTCTACACTCTACACTCCACACTCTGCACTGCACTCTACATTCCGCACTCTACACTCTACACTCTACACTCTACACTCTACACTCTACACTCCACACTCTACATTCCTCACTCTACACTCTACACTCTACACTCTACAGTGTTTAGAAGAGTAAGAACATTGTTTAACTATGAAAATACGAATCTTTATAATAAACTCACTTTTGTCTTTATGTATAATTAAAGGTACACTTTTATGTAGTTTTCTTAAAATTTATCTTATGATACAATTAACAAATCCTCGGAATTAAATAAAAAAGTGTTAGGTTAAAGATATTACAATTCTCATTGGCGGAGGAATATCGGTGGTCTTCTTTCAGTCTATCCCTAAATTTTTCATCGACCCAACCCCGACTAACCAGAGTTAGAGGCATTCTGTTTCTTCAATTTGAAATCATACTCGTTTTGGTTTATATTTTGACAATTTTTAAAGTTACTGATTTGTTTGTTAAATACTTTTTATTCAAAACATATATGCCGGCAAAAAAGTATTTTAAAAAGAAGGCTGCAAAATTATGTTTATAGGAGAAATTGTGATCGAAAGTCATAGCTTTCTGGAATATTGACAGAACCATTAAATTCACGTGATGTATACCTAAGTTTTTACCGAAGATTGTTACTGAAGCAGTGAAGACCCCCCTTTCCCCGTCATCGTCGAGACTCAAACTATTCCCTTGAAAACCTTATATTTTGAATTGGGAACCCACTCATTTTAGATTTTTATCCGACAACTTTTCATGGACGACCCCGAGATTATCACTTGTTAGCCCATATTTCACATTTCCTTCATTTTTTTACATCTCCTGCATTAAATATGGGAAACCTTTCATTTCCAAAACATATACACTATACAGTCATAAACAGAAAACATATACAGTCATAAACAGAAAACTCCGAAATAGGAAGACGACTTTATAGCGATAAAGAAGTGTATTTGATGTTGTTATAAAGCAAATAATTTTGGTAGACACTTATTAAATCACAAATCAAGTGAAATGGGTCTGTTTACAATGAATACTTTCTGTTTCACGTGTTCATAATTTAAGTTTGAAAGTTAAGTCTTTCTATTCCAGAGTTTTCTGGTTATCACTGTAGCTAAGACTCCTTTGAGTTCGATAAAAGCTACAGGGTGTCCCACGAAACAAGACATTTGGTGAATAGTTTTCAATGTCTTCTTCCTTGTTACTATATTAGTTAATAAAGACTTTTTGCAGTTCATTTCGTCAAGGACATCTTTTACTCAAATATATTAGTTTAAACTATAATTCACCTTAACTGTCATGTTTTGTGGGACGTACCAGCTGGTTTCCAATGATAACACGGGGTATTCCATGGAGACATTTGGGGGATCAATTTTTTGTAGGGGGAGGGAGGGGCGAGCCCTCCATCCGATAATTTCTGAATTAAATGAGGTAGCGTCTCAGTACAACATGTAGACTAATTAAGACAACTTGAATATCGACGTCGATTTCCGATGATTGATAGATGACAATAATGTGTTAAAATGTAGACTGAACGTTAGTCTTCTGAGCTTTTAAAAATGTAGTCTGCCCGTTAACTTCATGTTTTCATTCAAAATTGACGAAGATATTAAAACACTTGAAAAATTTCCTTGCTATGACTATTTCAATAATTATAAAATCTAGAGAGATTTCCTATTTTTATCTCCGTCAATTTGGAAGGTGCATTACTATGGTGAACCAGGCTAATACAAACTTGTTAAAATCATCTTCAAGAATTCATTAATCAATTTTAATTGAATTTATTTCAAAAGTATAAGTAGTCTAATTTTAAGAGATACAAATACGACTTTTCAGAAAAGCGTTTCCCGGTTCTGAGGTACCTCTGCTGCATGAAAACTATTACCTGAAGCCTTACAAAGGGTTTGTGTGTGCTGAAAAACAGGGATATTTTACTATTTTAAATTTTTAACATTTTAAATTTTAGAAATTTTAAAGTTCTAATAGTTAATAGTTAATCTTGTTGTTAAACTAAAATGAAACTTGTCAATATGTATCCCTGTTGTATTTTTGAAGATTCTTTACCTGTGGAATTCGAAACCGGTTTAGTAATGTAACTCAACACCGACGGAGTGTACGCTTGAGTTCCAAAATTTTACTGTTTTGAAACTAAAATCTCAACAATTCTGTTCAAATTCAATATTATTTAACTGTTGAAATTTATTTCAGATAATTGTGATTAAAATGTCCGTCTGTTGAACTTGTAAAATATGTTTAATAAGAAGAAGAAAAAGTTGGCGATTTCGGGACCAACTAATTTCCAACATAGGGTTCACACGGGATTTGATCAGAGCAATAATAAGTTTGTAGGACTCCCCCTACAGTGGGCTTCAATAGTTAAGGTGAATTATTTAAGTTTTTGTTTACATTTTATCCGGAAACTGTGGGGGTCTTTAAGTTTTAATGGTGCAATGCAATATTCAATAAAGAAACGAGACAAGAATTGTTTTGCTTGCAAATTAGGAAATTTCCTAGAGAACAGTTCTTGGACCCCCC